GAAGGAACAAGAGAGTTCTAGAAACTAGAGGGCGTGAGAATAGTCACGTGATCTCGATGACGCAACAGTATCTATGCCTCTTAATTATGTTGTCTAAGATATACTACAAAAGAACGGACACTTCAAGAACAATACATCTTGGAACACAAGTTTTGCTAATAGAAACTATCAAGCATTAAAACTTTGATAACGAACAGCAAAACGTTTGCAAATAGTTTATTCATAATTCAAATTCGATGGTGTCAGCAGATGATCCTTCTCCCACCCCCTAACGATTAGGTGGAATGATACTTTGTTTCACGCCGAACAAAAATCGTCTATAAAAGGAGGTCAGAAGGATTAATGAAGTTTAACGGTCAAGCCGTCACTAGCACGATATTTATTTCCAAGTAATAGTGACCAAGTTGAACAACACTCCAAATACCTACCAAAATTACTGAATGTTTTCAAAGGCAGATTTGACTTGTTACCAAAATTACTCCGTGCATTTGAAAAGTGATTCATTACAAAAATTTTCCTTACATTTTAAAATACGTCTTTGTATGAGCTTTACGCTTACTTGCGTTAGGATTTTCTCGTACTTCTGAACTAATCAGAGTTCTCGAACAAATACTATTTTAAACAAGGTTAAAAGGGTGGGTCCAAATCACTTTAAGTTAGTTATTTTTTGTGATAAATGACAGGTCGTATCAAATATTACCTTAGGTTTTCAAACCAGTATTTTACCTAACAATTATGCATAGCTGAGGCTTGGACTCAGTATAAAGTTCAAGCTTATTATTATATTTTATAACAAATATTAGGCTGATATATGATATTTAAGGTTAAGTGTTGCCCTCGGAAACGTACTCATTTACTGTGACAAACTATTCTGGTCCAACATATTAAATTTACAAAACGTATCTGAATAATGATCTTAGACCATTTTTCAATGTTCTTCAATAAATATGAGATAAATATAGTTGATCTTCTACAATAATTAGAGACAGTTATGTCTATGTTGGATAAGCGGTTAGTTTTGCAGACTTACAATGCTAGAAACCAAGGCTGGATTCCCTGCGGTGGGCAGAGTACAGATAGCTCATTATGCAGCTTAGTGCTTAAACAGAGAAAGCTATGGTTTTAATTTTGACTTTGGATGAATATATTTCCGTGCCTTTAATGTCTTAATGAAAGAGAGCTACAGATTGTTAAATAACATTCTTGGATTTTTGTAACATGTTTTAGTATTTTTTGTTCTTTGAGTAGTGTCTTCGAGATAAAAATACACCTTACAGCCGAATAACATATGAATGGATGAAAAGCACCAGACAACCTTTGATGATCTTCAAAAGGATGAAGACGTCGATCATGGTAATAAATGCGATGGAGAATGTTATCTTGATGAAAAACCCCAGATAACCTCTGAGCATCGTCAAAAGGATGAAGACGTCGATCATGGTAATAAATGCGATGGAGAATGTTATCTTGATGAAAAACCCCAGATAACCTCTGAGCATCGTCAAAAGGATGAAGACGCCGATCATGGTGATAAATGTGATGGAGAATGTTACAATGATGTAGATATGCAAGACTGTTCTTTAACTGATGAAGAGCCCAATTTCACGTTGTCACAAAAGTTAAACATTGTGGCCGGAATAGTGCTGTTTATTATAGATTTATTTCTCGACATTGTTGTTTGCTATCAGCACTACAGAAAAGGAGATAAAGGCTATTTTGGAATAACAGTAGCAGTCATTATTTTATCATCACTTCTACATACGTTATGGAGTCTCTGTTGGTACTTCAAGTACGAAAAAGCCTCTATAAGCTTCTATCAATGGATATTTCGTGGGACTTTCTCAGTACTTCCACTGTCTCCAGTTTTAAGGTAAACAGAAATCCACTTTTAATCTGAAGGTATGAAAACATGAGTGTTTGGGAAATAAGATTACTTTAGTTGTTTGACCAAGAGTGAATTCAAGAAAGCAGTGTATCTAGTGATCTAGTATGGTAATATATCATTTTAAGGTTCAATTTTTGTGCAAGATCTTATGAAAGCTGTTTTTACTAATACAGATAAAATGTTATTAGTGTTTGTTTATTTTGGAACATAAAAAGAAAGTTATTAATCTTCCAATAAGTATTTAAATGCAACTAATAACATGATTTTTCTAAACCCTATTAGAAATATTTTCTCAAATAATTATAATGTTTGTAAATGTTCTTGGGTTAATACCTTTTGAGACAATAATAAGCATAGAATATAGTATGTTGTATTTGGTATTATGAATACTTTCTAAAATTGATTTATTACCCAAATTACTTAATATTTATCTCCATTTCATAAACCGGCTAATGTCTTAGTTCTATGACTTCCAGGCGCACGCTTAAGTAGACCAAATGTACACAAGCCATTGGATCTGTATCAAAGGACTTAAGCAGATCAAAGGCACAGATGGTCACTAGAGCTGCATCAAAGGGCTTTAAGCAGACCAAAGACATATATGGTGACCAGAGCTGCATCAAGGGGCTTTAAGCAGACCAAAGACATATATGGTCACCAGAGCTGCATCAAGGGGCTTTAAGCAGACCAAAGACATATATGGTCACCAGAGCTGCATCAAGGGGCTTTAAGCAGACCAAAGGCACAGATGGTCACTAGAGCTGCATCAAAGGGCTTTAAGCAGACCAAAGACATACGTATATGGTCACCAGAGCTGCATCAAGGGGCTTTAAGCAGACCAAAGACACATATGGTCACCAGAGTTGCTTCAAGGGACTATAAGTAAACCAGAGGCACATATGATTACCAAAGTTGCATCAAGGAATTTTAAGCAGACCAAAATGCATTTTATCTGCAACAAGGGATTTAATAGGTATATGGTCGAGCTAGATTGTGTGGTATGCAGTTTCTTGTTTCATCTTTCTGTGTGAATATTCATTTTCGAAAAAAAAGGTCACGTAACCTTTAAGCTAATCAAATTTTGGAGGAATATTGAAAGCCTTGTCAGTACGGCTTGCTTATATATATATATGCGAGATATATATGTTATGTGACAATAGTTTTTGTACCGTTCTAATGTTATGTAGGAATCGGCAAGTTAAGCTAATTTACACGAGTTTTCATAATTTGTAAATGATCCTATGTAAAATTTAATCATGCGTTATTGGATAAAAACGTGTAACTTTAGCATAAAAGCAAAAAAAAAAAAAACAAAAAAGAATAAAAGTTGTAATATAATAATTTATGTATAATTTGTTTTGCTGATAATTATTTCACTATTAAGGAACTAGTATATTTTTTTGTTGATTAAAAGTAAAATCTCTGACGGCTAGCTAATATAACCGAAAGATGCAGAAAGTGTTTGCTAAATTATCATGTTTATTAAGATATGCAACAAAGGATTATTTTTTCTATAATATGCTTTGAATATTGCATATGATATTTAAACAGGCGTGTTAAGCGTTTATAGGCTGTGAATTCCACGTTCTGTGGTTCGTGGCTTGTTGCTGCAAAAATGCGATCAACATTTTGGACGATCAGATCCCAATTTTCGGTTAGATAATATACACCTGGAAAAAAGTTAAGCACCCCCGTGTTTTTTTCAAGTGATTCAGATTCGACGTTCTTGTGACTGATTATAAATGACCATTCAATCTAAACGTGTTTATCAAATGA